TTCTTAGAACACTGACTCCACTCAGGCAGTACACCATGCAACTTTTTGATTTATAGTATAAATTTATAATATAAATATAATTTATAATAACCTCCTTGCGATTTAATTATGCTTTAATTCTTATCATTTCACCTTGTCAGAGAATCTATTTAAAATCTCATGTAATTACCAGTTTATATACAATTTTAAAGATCATTTGTATTAGCTGAACTTATTAATACTTTAATTTGTTTTTAATATGTGAGATTCAGTTTATAAAACATGTTAATTGCATTATAATACTCTTGGCCTCATTTTTAGCTGAGGAATTTCAAGCCAGGAGGCATGAAGCAAGTTGGCCAATGCCTTAACTCTAGGAGGTAGCGAGACTTGGATCTGACCAAGGCATTTGAAACTTATAATTTTTTTCTTAACAACTGTGTGTTTTGTCTGCTGTTTCATTTAGCACAAACTTGCTGTAGAATGGGCAGTGTCCTGGTTTTAGCCGCTCTGTGCTTCCCCACATGGTTATTACACCGTTTAGACAGAATTGTGTAAAAGTAAAGTACAGGGAACAGTAAGACCTCCAGCGCCCCTCTCATCACACAGCTGCAGCCCCTCAGGAGTGCCCACCACACAGGGGCTGGCACAGGGGCTCTTAGAGCAAACACCTGGACCGCCCTGCTGGGACTGTTTCCTTTCCTCTGAGGGCACTTTGTGGGGGTGACCCCACAATCCTGCTATCCTTCGGCCTCAAAACAAACGCTCTTTGCTTCAAGAGATCTTGAAGAGCAACATCATGCTCTTTTTCCCCAGTCCCTGCTGTTTTACTTATGCCTTCGCTTAGAAATATTAGTTGTTATTGGAATTTATTCTCGAAATGATCGTCTTCCATCGGGTATTAGTGCTAACTGCACCCCTATTCCTTTTCTCGTGTGTGAACGAGGAAAAGAACTGAGACTTGGATATACTAAACTAATTAAACTGCCATATAAAGTTCATGTGTGCTCGATTTTTTTTCTTCAGAAAGCAAAAACAAACAAACAAAAGTCCCAAACTAAAAAAATCTAAAACGGTCTAGGTAGTCATTTTTGTGGAGGGCCCAAGATGCCCCATCTCCAGCATCTGCTTCCTGCCATGGAGTTTCCCGGACACTGACGAGATGCTTTTAGGATTAACTGGGATCAACAATGTCATGAAGTACTGCTGGAGGAAATTTAATACAAGTCCATTATGAGATACGCCTCTGGAGGTAAAATGTTCTTACATGCAAACTCTATGAAATAGCATATGGAGAGAAAACATTTTATTTGCAGGAAATATTGTGAAAATTTTAAAGTATTATTTAGTTTTAAAACGAAAACGGTTCCATAATATTTTTTTTTGCTAAAGTTAATCGGCAATTAATAGTTTTTTTCAGCATTACTATTTTTTAAATTGTGTTATATGTGTGCATATTTGTGTGCATGTGCTTGTGTGTGTTTTGCAGGGGTGTGCACCTGTGTGCACATGTCTCTGGAAGCCAGAAATCAGCACTGGGTGTCTTCTGTCACCTTCCACTTACAAAATGATGGACTAGAGTGATATTTTGTGTTTTAATAAATGAAGCTTGCCTGAAGATCAGAGTGCAAAGCTAGCCTAGTTAGTCAGTAATACAGGCCAGGCAGTGGTGGCACACACCTTTAATCCCAGTAGCCACACTAGTTAGCCATAGAGACCGGGCAGTGGTAGCACACACCTTTAATCCTAGTAGCTAGCCATAGAGACTGGGCGGTGGTGGTGCACACCTTTAATCCCAGTACTAGAGAGGAATATAAGAGGGAGGAGACAGGAACTCAGGGTCTCAGGTACAGCTTGAGGTTTTGGTGGAGATCATTCCAATCTACAGTCACTCTGAGGATAGGATCGCCCCTTTGTTTGAGCCTTGGTAGAAGTAAGAACTCCCTAGTGGCTTGGCTGTTGTGATTTTCTGATCTTCAGCTTGAACCCCCAAATCTGACTCTGGGTTTTATTATTCGTGCTACATAATATTCAGACATGCATATTATGGTTTTTGATCGACTGCATCCCCATTCCTTCCCTTCCAATTTTGCCCCGCCCCCTCACTTTCCCATCTCTACCGTGGCTGGGTGCTCCATGTGTCTCTGTCTCTAAACTCGCTGAATCCATTTAGTGCTGCCCGGATGGGATGCGCATGCGCTGGGGCGAAGTAAGTCTCGCAGGGTCTGCATCCGGGGATAAAACGACTGTCCCTCACTAGCAACCCAAAGGTCCTTAAAGACAGGCGGGGCTGCATGAACCCCTTCCCAGCCCCTCCTAGGATTTTGGCTGGCCTGATCTGGTGCAAGTCCGCCTTGCTTTGAAGAGAGGGTTTTTCACTGAACCTGGAGCTCCCCACTTTGGCCCAGCTCCCGGGGCCCCTCCTGTGTGTCAGCCTCCCCAGGACTGAGATGACAACAAGCTCGCTCGCTGCTCCTGGCTTTTGCTTAGATGCCCGTAGCTCCATGCAGGCACTTGTGTTCGTGTGCCCGGCATTTTGCCCACCCAGTCATCTCGAAGTTCCTAAAATTATTGTTTTATTCATGTATTGTCTCTAATGGGTAACTGTAGACTTCTGGTTTTGCTTTCGTTCTGACTTTGAGACAGAGTCTTGAATTTGCTAACCTGGAATTTTCAGTTCTCCTGCCTCAGCTGGGGACTAGGTTATAGATATGTCTGTCACATTACAGCCTCAGATTATTTTTATTAATGTCTACATCCAAACACACGGAATAGAAAACAAACAATATTTTGTATTACATACTACAAAATTTCCAGGAAAAATAATCTTGCTTTAGTTTTATACTTTTGAAGACTTTTGAAAAGTGAAACTTTTGTTGTTGTTGTTGTTTGGAGACAGGAATTCTCTGTGTAGCCCTGGCTGTCCTGGAACTTGCTTTGTAGACCAGGCTGGCCTTGAACTCATAAAGATCCCCCTGCCTCTGGCTCCCCAGTGCTGGGATTAAAGGTGTGTGCTACCACCATCCTACTGAAAAGTGAAACTTTTCTGTTGCAGCAATTTAGATGCTCATCCACCTGCACGCAGAGAAATCCCTTGTGCCCTTGCCCAGCCTCTCCCCGCCCAGGGGTGCAGATGCGGACACGTCACACGTCAGGGCAGTACTGCATCAGAGCCCGGTTCGGCTGATGCAGAGGGCATTGGCCCGAGCTTGGCGTCTTCCTCCCGTTCTTTTTCCGACTTTTGTTTGTTTGACTTCTGTTTTCTCTTGTTGTCGTCTGTCTTTATTTTGTACTGTCTTTGTTTCAGACCTATCCTTTCCTTTTCTGGGGAATAATGTGTAGAATTCCTGTTAACCTTCCTTAGTTCTTTGGTAGAATTCCACAAAGCTATATCATGTAAAGTATCTATATTTTGTTTGGGATGATTTTGGTTGTTTTTTTTTTAATTACAGGACTGTTCAATTCACGCATCTTCCACAGACTGAGCAATGATTTGGGGCACATTAGAATGCAGACACACTTGGTGTCTGTATTCCACTCATGGGGTTGGGGACTTAGAGTTTCTTTCCTTATCATCGATTCTCCTTATCAATTTTGCTCTAGATTTCTTAATTTTATTGACCTTTTGAAACAATCAACTCTTACTTGTTCACTATTCTATGTAGTTTTTTTTTTTCAACTTAATTTCTACATCTTCTTGTTTGGGACCTTTAAAAAAAATCTCGGATTTTCAGAGGGCACCAAAGATGTTAGCGTGAGACCCCCTACTGGACTTCTCCAGGGTGCGTTTCCCTCTTCTCCAGTGGGCACATTTAACTGTAGGGGTGACTGGGTCAGCACTGGCCTAGCAATGTCTACCTATTTTGATACATTATTCTCTTATTTGGTTTAATGCAGTTGAACAATTTATTTTTGTTTAAGACTTTTCTTGTTATTTTTCTGTTTCCTAGTTTGGTTATACTATATTTGAAGAAAACACAGTATATCAATTTAATTCTTTGAACTGTTGAAGAATTTTTACAGCCCATTGATAGAATCTCTCTTGACAAACATTCTGTGACCGCATGGATAGAATATATATATTTCTATATATNTTGGTCAATGACAAACACACTCAATGCTAGTTCCCACAAGACTGCATCGTCTCATGACATTGTAGGCACCTTAATCGGTGATGTTCATTAACCAAACCACAAAACTGTAGAGCAAGCGTTTCTCAGAACAAAACCCCATCATTCGCCTGACTGTGCAGAGTAGATTCTGTTCATTCATTGTTTCCTTCAAATGCTGTGGGCGTTTTGTCTAGTTTTTCAATGGTTGAGAGGTTTGAAGTCTTTGATTCTAATTGTGATTTTTCTTTCTCCTTCAGCTATGAAGGGTTTTTTTCCTTAAATATATTGAAGTCCTATTGCTACACAAGTCTTTCACATTGTTGTGTGATCCTTGTGGTTGACCTTTTCAATCATAACGTAATATCTTAGTTAGGGTTTCTGAGCATGGGGCTGTTATAGAGGAAAGCCTTTAACTGAGGTGGTGGCTGACCATTTGAGAGGTTTAGTCCATTGTCATCGTGGTGGAGAACATGGTGGCTGGGAGTTTGGTGGAATGCAAGTAGACATGGCGCTGTAGAATTCTACATCTTGATACACAGGCAACAGGAAGTGAACTGTCTCCCTGGGCATGGCTTGAGCACATATGAGGTTATACTGTGTCAAGCGTCTTTGGGGAATCGAGATCATCAGGAAGTGGGAGAGGGAGGCTGACTTCCTCTTTCCTTCTGGAGTGCCCTTACCCATATTCCCTCCTGTTTACACTCAGCTCCTCACTCGAGGCCAGCTCAATGTGTCTGCCCAACCTTTCGCTCAAACCTCAAAACTGATTCGGTTTATCTTTCCATAAGACGACTGTTCCAGGTAGTTCATCATCATGTCAGAAGACTAATTCACAGAGCAAGGGCTTTGCCAATAATTGTACCGGGATATTTAAAGAATTCCCTTCAGCCCTCCAATGTAAAACAGAAAAGAAAGAAATGCTTCCTCATGAATTTTTGTGTCATCTTTGCACAGGCTCCATGCTAATCTTCGCACAGTTCCACTTTTAGTGTATGTGCGGCCGAGGTGAACACAAGACAGAAAGGCTTCCCACTAAATGGGGCCTTCATTACCTTGATACCAAGGGCATCCAAAGATGTTTGTAACACACTACAGGCAGTTTGAATATATGCAAAGATGCTCATTAACATATACTAGAAAACCAGCTGAAGTAGTTTGTTAGGAAGACTTAAGACCCGGGAATGTAGCTTGTTCAGTAAAGTGAGTGCTTGCCTAGAAAGCACAAAGCTCTGAGTTCCATACTCAACACTGCAAACACTTGACAGGGCGCGCTACAAACCTGTATTCTCAGAACTTGAGCAGTGGAGGCCAGAAGATCGGAAGAAGTTCAAGCTTGTCTTCAACAACATAACCAATTCTAAGGTGGTCCGGAACTTGTCTCTGGGGAAGATCTTGAGAGCTTGTCTCAGGAAGAAAAATACAAGGCCACTGGCTAAACTTTTTTGGCAGGTAGAATTGATCACAACAACGCAGTGATTGAGCAGAGAATACCGTTGGGGCAAGGGAGACAGGAGACAGGGCGGTGAGTGAAGTACGTGTCCTACAGGTGTGACGACCCGAGTCTGGATCCTCAAGGTCCACATAAAACTCCACGTGACAGCATACATTTGTGGCAGGCTTTCTGATCACACTGGGACCCCTGAGACTGTACTGTTTACTGGAAAAACCGGTTCCTCGATGTGGCGCAATTCGGCCCTAGCACGCACCTTTCATTCAAGAGCCTTCTGCTTGAATATTGTAAGCCGGCCATAGGTCAAAAGCAAGGAGACTCGTTGACGAAAATAAAAGATAGGGAGTAAGAGGGAGTCAGGGGGACGGATAGAGTGATGCACAGGAAGTAGAAGGGAGGGACATTGAACTTGAGGAGTTTTATTTGAGACGCATATGAGAAAGGTCTCGTTTCTTGGATATCAGTGGAGGAGGAAGGTCAGCCAGGTGCTGTCTCCGCCTCTCTGGGCTAGCAGATTTTCACTCCAGTATCCAGCTCCTGAATCTTAATTGGTCAAATCAAACAAATCAAGATTTGGTTAAAACTAACATGCATTCCTTACTCCCAGCGCTCCGATGTCCGTAAGTACAATCATAAATGGTGTCCATGTGCCTGTGGGTTGTTTCAGTAGAGGCAATCATTTGGTAAAACACAGCAGAGACCAGATAGACCCCAGAACTGGATTGAGGGAGGAGTCCAAGACTGTTGCAGTTAGAGCAGGTCCCACGGATCAGCTGTATCTGTCGTGTGCAGATACAACATATACTCACTCCCTAGCAGATACAAAAGACAGGTTGGAGAGGCAAACACAGCTTATACCACGTTCAGACATTTTCTGCTTTATTGCCTCTTTTATTTAGAAAAAAGTTTTCCTACAATATATTTTGATTATACCTTCCTCTCACTCCAACTCCTCCCTGGTCCCCTCTACCTCTCTGCCCCTGTTCTTTTCTAAAAAAAATAAAATAAATTTTAAATAAATGAAAGTCAAAATAAATAAAAACTAAAAAGATAAAACCTACCAAAATAAAGGAGAAAGCACACACAAGACCATAGAGTTTGTTTTGTGTTGGTCCGCTGCTTCTGTGCATGGGACATGCCCAAGAGTGTGGTTGATATTCTAGTGTGACTTCATTGGAGAAAAATGACTTTTCCCTTCCCAGGAGGTACCAGTCATAGGGGTGGGGGTTTGTGCCCACTTCCCTTCTCCGTGCTGGGTTTTTGTCTGGCTTGAGTAGGTCTCATGCATGTTGCCACAGTCTCTGTGAGTTCACATGGGCTGTTGTGTAGGAACATCATCTCTGATGATGGCTGAGCAACTTATTTATCTATGGGCTTGTATCACTAAGAGATATTTTGTTGCTAAGTTCATTTAGTAAAATAGTAGGAGTAGGTTTTTCCCTAGGGCCCATGGCCTATCTAGTCTCAGGTACTTGGAGACTTCGGCAGTGTCAGGTATGGATTCCATCTCTTGACAGACCTTAAACCCAAATGTTAAGAGTGATTGGTTACTCCCATAATGTCTGTGCCACTATTGCACAAGTGTATCTTGCAGACCAGTCACTCTTGTAGGTTGCAGGGTTTATAGATGACTGAGTTGATTCTGATCACTATTGGTCTTTCAAATTTTTCCTAATCACTAATATTTCTTTATAACATACAAGTCAATACTTAAATGCTCTTCTGAATTGCTCTTTCAATTTGTGTTTATGCACAGAGCAGCCAAAACTGATTTTCCCATGCTCCCCAGTGGAGATCAAGCTGCACCCTGCTTCTTGTTTGCAGGTAAGAGTGCCTGCTGCTCTTCCAGAGGACTGGGGTTGGATTCCCAGCATCCCAGCTCCAAGGGATCCTCCGTATCTTGTCTACAAGTTCATCAGTACACATAGCATACACACAGACACATACGTGGCATAAATTAAAAATAAAAAATATATACATACATATTACTTTTATATATACTTTTTGACTTTTAAGTGCCATGCTTTTTGTTTATTTCCTTTGCTTTACCTTTTTAGTGGTCTTGCTCTTTTAAATAATCCCAGTGCATATTATGCAGTTTCTTTCCAGTGTTCATAAGTAAAAATAGACTATGATGCACTTTATGGAGCAAACAGATGCTCTTAATGGTGAGTTGCATGCTGGCAAGTAAAAAACTGTCTTAAGTAAAGTCTGTTAAAACAAGCGCTTTCTTCTATTGGTGGGATTAGGATCTGAACTCACAGACTTATACATGGTAGGCAGGTGCTGTACCACTGAGGTAAGCATCCAGCAGAAACTTTTAACAATGTGTATGGGGAGCTCTGAAGATGGGTTTGCAGGTAAGAGTGCGTGCTGCTCTTCCAGAGGACTGGGGTTGGATTCCCAGCATCCCAGCTCCAAGGGATCCTCCGTATCTTGTCTACAAGTTCATCAGCACATATAGCATACACACAGACACATTCGTGGCATAAATTAAAAATAAAATATATGTGTCGATGGCTAACAGCTCACAGGGTGCTATCCCTGTATGTCCTCTCGGGAATATAGCCAGGAAGACTGCACACTGATTCCACTTCCGTGTGTCTTACAGAACATAACTATTCCCAGTAACAAGAGACTTGAAAATAAATGTTAAAAGTTAAGCAGTGAGTGATGAAATGAATTCCAGTGATTTTGTAAACAGGATATAGACTGGAAAGCCAGGAAAATGTGCATCGTTAAAGCCTTTATTTCAAGAAGAAAGGCATTGTCTCTGTTTTCAAACATTCTTAAGAGATGAAGATGAGAAAAGTTTATTGGATTTGATGGAAACCACATCTTTTCTTCATTCTGAGCATAGTTTTAGGAAATTATGGTGGAAACTTGATTTAAGTAGTTTCTAACTAAGAAAAATCTGACTTGAAATAGATTTCAAGAATATTAAATGATAAATTTCATTAAAGAATGAATAGTTATTCTTTCCCAAATTTTGTATGAAAATTTTGTTGGTGGTATTATTCTTTAGGCAGAGTCTCACGATGTAGTTCAGGTTGTCCTCAAATTCCAAATTCTCCCACTTTAACATGCGCTATCCAGAAAAGTTAAACATCTTCATGTATTGTTGGCACTTAGATGATCATATAAAGGCAAAATGTTTGGTATGCTTTCTTGATTAGTTTTTGAAGTGTGAGCCCACTAAAGCCCATTCTCCGTGGGGCTTTCCACTTCACCCTGACGATGATGATGACTTCTTTGCTTCTTAGGGAAAAAAAAAAGAGACAGCATCTGTTTTTAATGCTTATCCCAGTGACTCTGCTTTCTAAAGAGCTTGCTTGCTTTTGTTCAGTACTTAGGCCAAACGCTGAACTCTTTTTCTTTGCTGATAACTGTAAAAGCTTTGGGAGTCTTCACTGTATCCCAAACTTTGGACCACATAGGGATCATTTTGTTTATAGAATGACAGACTTTTCCTTATGAAAATAAAATTCAGGGCTGGAGCTGTGGCTCAGGAGTTGAACACTGCTATTCCAGAGGATCTGGGTTGGATTCCCAGCACACATGGTGACTCACAACTGTCTGTAACTCCAGTTCCAGGGGACTCAGCGCTCTCTTCTGGCCTTTGTGGGCACCAGGAAAGCAAACAGCTCACAGATAAACATAAAGGCTAAACAATCACACACACAATTTTTTATAATGAGATTCATAGGCATTCACTTTGTAAGGTGAAAAAAATATAGTAATGAGAATATACTTTGCTAATACCTTTACATTTATAAGATTTTTGGTGAGATTAGCATTATGTGCTGGCGTCTTTCTTTTGCAGCTTCAAGGTGAGATACCAGACTTCAGAAAAAAGTCACAAAAACAACACATAAAAGTTTGTACACATGTCAATCATGTCCTTTAAAAGTCCCACATCTCATTGTGGTTGCCTTGACTTTAAGTGGTCTGTTTGAAGTGTTTACATGCAAGGTGCCCTTTAGTCTCTAAAACTGCCAGTGTTTATTTCTTGAAGAACAGACTTCGATGATGTCTAGTGCAGTCATCAGGGTTCAACATTCACAGAGCACCTTTGCCCAATCGGTAGGCCTGTGTCACACATCACAGTGGCAGTGGCTACATGTGCTATTTAAACTCATACAATTAAAATAGAGACTCAGCCCCCCTCCCACAATAGCTATGCACCAAGCACCCCATAGTCCAGTGGCTCTTCTATTCTAGAACACTCTTACAGAATGCGTCCATCACTAAAGACATGATCTAGATGTTCACATTGTACCAGTCCCCAAGAAACATCCTTTATATCAAGAAAAAAAAAATCTATCAAATGATCACATTACAGTTAGTTATGCTGTCCCTTGAGGATACTTCAACACAACTGCTTTTCAAAATTAAGATGTCTCTTTTAGGACATTGTTATTTTTAGAGTCACAGGCAAGTTAGTTCACGGAATGCCCCTCTTCTGGAGTTTTGTCTTGGAATATGTCAAGACTGCCTAGTTTCGAGGCAATCATTGCTTCATCCTCTGCTGAGCACCACATGTGAAGGTCTGTGAAATGGGTT